CATGTTCTCAATTATAAGTGGGTGCTAAATATTGAGTACATACGGACACAAAGAAGCGAACACATGACATCAGGGTCTATGTGAACAGACAGAAGAAGGAGAGTGAGGATCAAAGAGATATCCATATCCATCAAGTACTCTGCTTATCACCCAAGGGGCAAAATAATCTGTACACTAACCACCTGTGACATGCAATTTACTTACATAACAAACTGCACATGTACCCCTGAACCTAAAATCAAAGCTAAAAAAGAAAAACACTGCAAAGTGAAATGAGATTTCTCTTTAAATAAGGTAGTATTGGAAGCCTCAATGATTCAGTGATATTGGAGGAGTGACAATGTTTAGTGTTGATACCTGAGAAAGAGCAGTCCAAGAAGAAGGGACACAATCATGAAGTCCCTGAGCCAATGCTTGTCATATTCCAGAAATGACACAAAGGCCAGTGTTGCTAGCATGCGATGAGCCAGGTGTTTCAGAACAGACAGGCAGACAAAATCAGATCCTTCAGATGATTATAAGATTTTGTAAAGATTTGGTCTTTACTCTGAATTAGATGAAAGCCATTAAAAAATCTGGAGCAGAAGAATGGCACGATCAAATTTGCATTTTCACAGGCTCTGGTTGCTACCTTGAGAACACATCAGAATAAAAGGATGGGCAGAACTAGAAAGAATAATTAGAAGCTGATAGCAAATATCCTTTCAAAATATGAAGAAGCTTATACGAGTATGGCAGAGTGATGACAGGGGATTGGATTCTGCATGTTTTTGAAGATAGAGTCAACAAAATTTGCTGATGTCTTAGAGATGAGTTCTGAAAGAGAGAAAATGTTGACTCCATTTTTTTTTAGTCTAAGCATCTGAAAGTCTGAAGTGGTTATTAACAGCAGAGGGAAAGACTATAGAAGAAACAGATTTGAAAACTGGAGGGAAGATCAGTATTTTGATTTGGACATGTTAGTTCAAGTTCTTGTTACACAACCAAATAAAGATGTCAAATAGTCTATTAGAGAATGGATTCTGGAGACCAGGGTTGAGATCTGAGCTGAAGGATTAAATGTTGGCATCATCAAGACATAGAAAGGAAGTAAGACCATGACTAGATGAACTTACCTAATAAATGGGAGTAACAAGAGAAGGAAAAAGACATAAATTTAAACTCTTATTTCATATCATCCACAAAAATTAACTCATAAGTAAATGATCATAGAGAAAAACTTAAGAAATGAGATATTGACAGATACTGAGACATTGTACAAAATGCAAGAAATAAAAAATGGGTTAGTAAATCATAATTCTATCTATGAATTACTTTGCTGATATCATTATGTAATTATATATAGATTATTATATACTTAAAATCTTCTGCCTATCAATCTATCAATATCTACATTGCTATTTTAAATAAAACTAAATTGGATACAGAGTCACCATAACTCTAAATAGGTAGAAATTCAAGTAAAAACATTATTGTTGCTCCCACCTTCTCCCTAGATTTTTGGTCATATTATTTTTAAATGTAACTTTGACATTTGAAGAAAAAAGAGTTTACATAATTTGTCATATGTAAATAGATGTACATAAATACATAATATATATGAATATGTAAATGAATAACCTTATTCCTCTCTATTGAACCGTTTGGCTAAATTATCAGTAAGGGGAGTGCATGAAATCACCAACAAAACAGAGCATGCAACATGAAGACTAACCATTGACAAGGCAACACACCTCACTGGTGATCTTACAAATGTCAGATTTAATGGAGTGGTGACAGCAACGTCCTCACTGGAATGGGTTGAATGGCCAATAGTTGAAGAGGCTGTGTACTTTGCTAAATAATTATTAACAAAGAGGAAAACAGAGTTGAAAAAGCTGAGTCCTGGGGTCAGCCTCTGATGTGAAAAATCAAAGACTCTCAGCCAGTTCTCAGAACTGAGCCAATTAGAGAAGCAGAGATAAATGACTGAAAGAAATCTTAAGTCCTCCTGATAATGAACAATGGAGGTGGTGTTACATTTTATATTCCTATTCAGTCAACCTTTCTGGCCTCTTCCAAAACCAGATGGATTATAGAATGAATGCACATTAGCAGAAACTTAAATTGCACTTGAAGATGCTCTCTAGAATGTGATATCTTTACTGAGCAGAACGTGGTTTCTGGCACTTTGTATGTGGCTTTTGATTTGATGAATGCTTTTTAATCTAGATCCATTGTGAGAGAAAATCAAAACAATTTGTTTGGTGTGGTAAGAACAAAACCACTGCTTCACTGTTTTATGTCAGGGCTATGTCACTTCTGTTTTCAGTTTAATTGGCATTTTGCAAAACATCATCCTAACTCAATATATTAATAATATTACTTTAATTGGTACCCATAAGCAGGAAGTGGTAAGTTCCTTAAACATAGTAAAATAGTACAACATTTAAAAAAGTAAAATACCAGAAAAAGAGATATATAAACTTCAGCAGATTCAGGGACTTGTAATACATAGTGCTTTTAGAGGTCCAATGCTCCTGGTCCTTGTGTCAAAACATCCTTTTTAAAGTAAATGGCATGTTGTCTGGTATATAATTCCTCTCACAAAAGAAAAGGCACAGTGTTTTGGGGCCTATTGGGATTTTGGAGTCAACATATTCCACATTTCAGGATATTGTTCTGATTCACTATTGGAGTTTCCAAAGGCTACTGGTCTCAAGTGGAACCCAGAACAAAAAAGAGTTCTATAGAAGATATAGGCTCTGGCCCAAGCTGTTCTGCCCATTGATAATGCAGCAGAACTCAAACCTGCTAGAGGCATGCATAGTGGGCATTAGAGGACTCTGTGCAAGTCTATGACAAATCCATAGGAGAGGGGAGAGCAAACCCCTAGGGAATTAATGCAAAACCATTTCCTCTTCAGCAGAAGAGTGCCCTCTGTCTAAAAAACAAAACAGCAGGTCCAGAAGATTAATCCAATCATAAAGCCCCTCTAAGCATGAATGCCTCTAAGCACAAGACACTGTGCAACTGTGGAAATCATATGCCCATAAAGCCAGGCATGTTTGGAATACATGAGCAATGCAGAGTGGTACAAGGAGTAGACAGTATTGGACACAAACATGTGCTTCCTCAGATTCACTGGACTGTCTCCTTCTCTCTTGGCCAGGACCTTGCCTGATCCAGATCATCCTTCCTATTGGGGCTTGAATGGATCACCACACTGTGGGATGACGTCTGACTTTCATAACAGCCACCAAGGGACTGGATGATGGAAGGCAAAACAGTAGAGATGGTAGTTCTGCCTCAGGTGAACCCTGGCCAATGGGAAATCGACAACAGAAGACAGCTGAGCAGATACATTGTCCCTCCTCTCTCATGTCCATGGACTCGTGCTGGCTATGGTTTACACAGCCATTCTGGAAGTGTAGTGGAAGCCAAGTGTACACATCTGATGACCACCATGCTATCTCTCTCACCTTATTGTGAAATGGCCACAACACAGTCACATACACACAACACATTGTTACAATACATCACAACACATTGTTTGACATCTGCTCTTGCCTCAATTTCCATGTGTCCCCACCATTGCTGCCCTGGTCTTACCTTCCAAATAAATGTCATCACTTTATATCAGACATTGTGTTCTAGACCCCAAAGCTATTTATTCAGTGGCATAATTATTATTAATTCATTTTTCTGTGAATTTATAATATGACAATTAAAATGTTCATTTAGAAAGGATATTAAAATATTATATAAAAATCACATTTTAGTAAGGTCATTGATAACTAAATTTTTTTAAATGAATAGCTATTTTTGTTACATAATAACCAGCTAGAAATATCACAATACAAACATATCATTCACAATTGAAAAAATATATGCAAATATCCAAAAATCTTTTATGTGCTTTTTTTAAAGGTATTGTAATAGGTGCCATCTGATTTAGATGTTCAACCTTGTCTCCATCCATATCTTTCATCTGATGTAGTTGAATTGAGGCTATATTATAGTGATATTTCCCTTACAATTATGGAATAGCCACACTTTTATTCTGAGAAATGTTTCTTCTTAGATAATCCTGTAATCTCAACCAGAAACCAGAATAGGAAAATTCATGCAGATGTAGATTTTGTGATGTTTCATTTCTCTTGGTTCACCACCCCAAAATATATAATTTATTCATGTATTTACTAATTTATTTGTTCATCAAAATACTTTTGGATATCTATCTTTTGTGCTATCTTTTAAGTCCTAGGAGTCAACAGTAAGCAAGATCTCTATGATCTCTGCTTTTATGGTGCTTACGGTGTACCAGGAAAGATGTATGATAAGTAAATAACTAAATCAGATGATTTATCTAAAGGTTTCGATAACACTGTTAAAATTTCATAACCCCAAGAATTAACACAGTCTGTAGAATTTACTTGTTTAAAGCTGTTATATATTTTCTTCCTATAATGGAGCTTGCTGTCACTTAATATGTCAACACACTTTATCTCACTGCATTATTTGCAACTAGATTATAATAAAACAAATATTTAAGTCATTTCCTATCATCGATACATAGATTTCATAGATGTCATTTTAACATTTGCAGAAGGTTTAATTCAATGATTTTAATAATTTCTATACTATTTTTACATTGATTATTTTTAAGTAATAAAGATTTGAGTTCATTTATGTGATGTTTACAAAGAATTTTAAATGTGGAAGTTATTGAAGATAATTGGCAATTCAGGGACTCTCAGGTGGTTTAGAAATAAAACTAAAATATTTGATATCAGATCTCAACTTCAAAAAAGGTTTTCTTCACCTCAAAAACTGGAAGAAATGACCTTTATAACTGTATATGGACACTTATGACAGCACTTGAGGTCATCAATGTGTTTCTGTCCCAATTACAGAAATGACTTTTTTCTCAGTTGTTCACATATTTGTATAAAATTGAATATTCCTCAGTACTGTTTACAATAGACATATACAAAATTTATTCCAAATATATTTTTCATCCTTGAATTTTATTGTGAGCATAGTTTTCTAACAATAATTACTTGCTTTAAACTAAACATAAAATTAGAATTCATGATGAAATAGAAACTACTCCAAAGATAAAACCTCATTATTGATTTAGAATAGAATTCTCATACCATCCCAAAAACTAGATGTTCACATAATGATGTTCAAGCACACTATGGTACACATGTATGATACAAATAACAGTGGAAAAGTGCAACATTTTGTGAACTAAGCTGTAAGTTCTTAACAATTATAAATGGAGATCATAAATTTTTCAAATAAGACATGATAATATGAAATGTATATGTGAAATACACATGGCTTCATGATTTTGAAAAATTTCTTACCATATTTTCTATAATTTGGCAGTTTGTAAAAAATGATTAAGATTATGTTATTGTCACTGTCTCTTAAGAGTTTCATATACACATACACATGCATATATAGATACTTTTTTAGACTAACTTTAGGTAAAAGACTTTTCTAGGTCTACTTTTGGAAATTACTGAAAGATATACACTACAAAAAAGCCAGCAGAAAGTATAAAATGTTCCAGACACTATCAGTTTGTTTTATCTTGGAGACACACGATGTCCCAGTTGTGAACCCAGAAATTTGAGAGTTTCTGGTCTTTTACTCAGCACCTACTCTGACACAAAATCAAAAGGAAGGTCTGTTTTAGCTTCTTGCTTCCCCAAATTAGGATGAATGAATGACATGAAGGACATATAATTGCAGTAATTTGGCACAGCATGAGGACAGGTTCATTCTGCAGCGTCCTTCTAAGATGCCAAATTGACGTGGTTAGGGACAGAAAATAAATAACAAATAACAAGAGGAAGGAGATCACAGTTTGCAAAACTTTTATGTGGACCCTGATGTTGAGATCTGTAGATCCTTTGCCATGGAGCTGCATCTTCTTGAGATGTTTGCTCAGAGAACAGATTAACAGGAGAAAAGATGTCAGGGATAGAGTAAAGGGTATTAAGTTTGTAAGTGTGCTTACAGTCATGTCAGACAGATGCGTTGTATCACTCAATTTGATCTTCCAACTCACATTTCCTTCATATTCTTTTGTCCACACACTCTCATCCATGTTTAACATGACAAGATGACAAACCAAAAATAACAAAGCCCCGAATAGCATCACTGGAATGACACTCTTAAGTCTCCTCTTCAGGTGAAGAAAAATAAAGTTGGAGAAATTGGCAATCTTGAAGAAATAAAATATGCTGAGGCTAGTAGCAAGCCAGTTGCTGAAATGGTTGGTTACTGCCCAGGCATTATAAACAGTAATTCTTGCTTCTAAACTAAACAAATCTGGATTAAACACAGTTGAATACCAATGTAGTAATATTACCCAGAGCAAACCAACTCTGGAGACCACCAGAGCAGTGAGAATTTGGTCAGCAAAGGAGATCTTTTGCCTCTTGACCCAGTCAATGGAATTTACCAATGCTATGAAGCCATTAGCAAAATTTCCAAGAACAAATGTAAGCACTACTAGAATGGAAAAAATGATGGGTAGAAAAGTTACCATGTCTGAACAGACAAAAAGACAGAAAAAATGAAAGCCTAACAACACTGGCTGTGATTCCTTTAATACCCTGAGCTTAAATTTTATATGCACCTGATTTCTGAATCTGCAGTAACATTCTTTTTACTTTCAAATACTGTGACCAGTGTCAAACAAGAAAGTACCAGTTAATGCTAATTGATGAGCTCAAAAAATGTATTTATGGAAAACATTCTAATGTTCAAACAGCTCAACTTAACTCATTCATTCAATGACTATTCTTGTTAGAGACTGGAAATATTCAACTGAAGTTGAAGTGAAGCCTGAATTTTCATTTGCCAGCATGCAAATAAAGACATATTCTCTTTCAATGTTTTATAATGTTTTCCTCGTTTCACATCTCCATAATTTGTGTTCAGCAACTTTAGCTATTGGTTATGGAAATTTTACTACATAGTTCATAAAGTAAATGTCTAAATTCTTAAAGGGAGATTAGTCATAACTAGGATCATCACCATGACCAATTTTATGCTAGATTTAAATAGACAAAATCCAAAATTTTTAATCCAAATCATCCAAAGTTTTCTTGAGAACCATGGGAAGGTCAATACACCTTAAAATCTTATTCCTGCTAACCAGTACTTTTGTATGATGTTATTGTTAACAAGCTCATAAAACATACACAGACAGACAGACAGGCACACACACATACACACACCCCTCCAGAAAAAAAGAAATTTCCAAAATAATTTACAAAATGGAAAATGAGTTTCCAGGAGATCATCCTGGTAAAATTAGTCCTTTTTTCCCACTCAGGGTTTTTAACGCATAAAAATATATCAAACATATCTCTCATGCTTAGACCTTTGATAAAGTTACTCTCGTCTATTTAATGTCTAAATATTTGTTACTTTATTAAAATATTCATCACTTTTAGAAATATTTCTGAGTATCACATTCTTTGACATATAATCTTGCAGTATTTTATCACCACAGACAGGGTGACTACCTTGCTCCTGGACTCAGGGCACTCACATAACTTGCTTTGATTAACAGAAAATTGGTAAACTTCACACAGAGATTTGAGATGGCATCCACACTGAAGTTTCTTTTTCTTTTCTATTTATTTTGAGAACATCACCTGGCTACTACACTGTTCCCAGAAGGAGAATGAGAAAATAATGGAGTCAGTTTGCCTCTGCCTGATCCAGCCTAAATTGGCCAAAGTCTAACTAGTTCCAAGATGCAGAGCTTGGCCCATCTCAAATTACCAGAGCCATCCACCAAACCCAGCTTAGGAAAGCTGAATCCAAAGATATGTGAGATATCAATATGTAATGTAGTTTTGTAGAGGTTGCAGAAAAACCTAATTGATATAGGTACTCTGCTAAACCAAGAGTGTGGGAAATATGTCCACCCTTGTTGTATCAGTAATACAGGAACCAAAAGAAAAATAGATGAGGAATGACAAAGTTTTGACCTGCAAGGTAGATAATTAAAGGTAGAAAACACCTTTAGAAAGATCTGTGTACTGCAGGTAACATCTCCTCTTGTTTCTACACGTTGTAGCTAAAATAAAGTTTGTACTTCAACTCTCTTAGAGTTGTATATAAAGATACATAAATGGTGAATTTTTTCCTAGGTATATAATGAGCAGAGTAATCAATAATTTTTATGGTGCACTTCTCCTAAATAATTTTCAAATAAAAGTATAATGCACACTTAGAAATGAGTCAAAATAACAATGGTAAACACAGCAATGTATCATAAACATTCATGTAATCATCACATAGGGCAAGACATGGAACATTACAAAGGGCCTAGGGCTACTCCCATGCTGCTTTTCAAGCCCCTAAATGTTTCTTCACATCTCCTGAGGTAAGCAATACCCATAATTTACGATGATCATTCCCTTGGTTTTCTTTATGCCTTACCAACTAGGTATGCAACCCTAAACTCCTTAACATGGTTTTGCCTACTTTAAACCATACATAGGTGTAGTGCTGTAGGTTCTTGTTCATATCTTCTTGGACTCAATACTATGTTTCTGAAATTTGGTCACTTAGTCTGTGGCCATACCACTCTGAATGTACCTGATCTTATCTGAAGTTTAGTCACATAGTCACATGTATCTGTGATCTATATCTTTTCACTTATCTGTATATTGTTCCATTATACAGATTTACTGTAGTGATTCATCCATCCTTAGTTGATGTATATTTGGGGGATTTTCCTTTTTGAGCAGTCATGAATAATGCTACTATGAGCATGCTTTCATATATCATTTGATGCAATTCCTTTGGATATCCAACTACTAGTAGAATTACAGGGTCTTTGAATATGATCTTCGAATTCGCTTCACAGACAGAAAAGTCCAAAAGATGATTGAACTAATTTTACTCTTTTTACCTTTACCTCCAGTCTACATATAGCTATTTGTATATATCTTATCAATTATACCATTAACCCAAGAAGACACTATTATTTTATACCATTAAAATTGATTTAGAATTATGTATATATTTACCACTTTTGCTATTTTTATACCTTCCTGAATGTTCAACTTTGTATTTTCAGTACTTTTTCTTTTATCTAGAAAACATTATTTTTAATTTCTGTTTATGAAGCTCTGCTATTCCTTTGAAACACACTGAAGTTATGTTCCATTGAATTCTAGCTTTGATTTTGTCTGTTGAAAATCTGATTGTCATTTGGACAGTTTTTCCTTTTCACATAATCTTTTTTCTCTACCTACTTTTCAGATTTTCTATTGGTCTTTGATGACCCATGGCATTTGTATCTCAATTCATTTTTAATTATCTTGTCTGACGTTTGATGGCTTATAAAAATATATGGATGAACCAGAATAACCAAAGCTATCTTAAGCAAAAAGAGCAAAACTGGACAAATCACATTACTTGACTTCAAGTTATACTACAGAGCTATAGTAACCAAAACCACATGGCACTGCATAAAAACAGACACACAGAACAACAGAACAAAATAGAGAACCTAGAAACAAGTCCACACACCTAGAGTGAACTCAGGTTTGACAAAGTGCCAAGAATATACACTGGGGAAAAGACAGTCTCTTCACTTAACAGTGCTGAGAAAACTGGATATTCTTATGCAGAAGAATGAAACTAGACTCCTATCTATCACCACATATGAAAATCAAATCAAAATAGATTAAAAACGTAAAATCTAAGACCTCAAACTATGAGACTAGTATAAGAAAACACGGCAAAATCTTCAGGACATTGATCTCAGCAAAAATTTCTTGAGCAATGACCCACAAGTACAGGCAACAAATCAAAAATGGACAATTGCGATCACATCAAGTTTAAAAACTTCTGCACAGCAAAGGATACAATCAACAAAATGAAGAGACAACGCATAGAGTGGGAGAAAACTATCATATTACAAAGGATTTGCAAACTACCATCTAACAAAGGGATTAACAACTAGAATATGCAAAGGGTTGAATCTACTCTATAGGAAAAAATATATATTAATCAGATAAAAAAGAGTAAATGATTTGAATAGACATAGCTCAAAATAGGATATACAAATGGCAAGCAGGCATATGAAAAGTTGTTCAAGATCATTGATCATGAGAGAAATACAAATCAAAACTAGAATGAGATATCATCTCACCGCAGTTAAATGGCTTATATTCAAAAGACAGGCAATAACAAATGCTAGTGAGGATGTGGAGAAAAGGGAATCCTTCCCCGTTGGTGAGAATGTAGATTAGTACAATCACTATGGAGAACAGTTTGGAGGTTCCTCAAAAACAAAAACAAAAACAAAAAAACCTAAAAATAGAGCTACCATATGATCCAGCAATGCCACTGCTGGGTATATACCCAAAAGAAAGGAAATCAGTATATCAGAAAGATATCTGTACTCCTATGTCTGTTGCAGCACTGCTTATGGTAGCTAAGATTTGGAAGCAACCTGGGTGTTCATCAACAGATGAATGGATAAAGAAAATGTAATACAGCTAGTGCTCGACTTATGACCACGATTGATTCTGACAGACCGGTCTAACACGATTTGGTCGAAAGTTGAGTAGGCTATATGTACAGTACTGTGAAATGATGTTATAAAAATCTTTAAGTCATATTTTATTAAAATTTTCTTTCATTATTGTTATATATCATAATTTTCTTTGTTCATTTTATGCCATTTGTATCATCTCTACACCATTTTGTTTCTTATTTTTACATTCGTCAGGTTTAAGTAAAACACTGTATTACCAGTACAACTGGTTTAATATTTGCAAAACATACAAAATTACAAAATACAGGTGGATACAAAAATACAAAATACAGGTGTAAAAAATATCATAGGAAACATTTTCCCAATTGCAAAACATATCAAAATATATAAACATGTATGAAACATTTTATTGGCCACTGGTGCTTGGCTGTGGATCGTTGATGTCATCATCTGAGGCAGCAGTTGGAGTTACCGGAGTTGGTTTTTTCATAAACATGGTGAATTTGTCTGAATTGTATGTTTCTTTTTTTCTTCGTAAATTTCACGATACGGACGAAACACATCGTGTGCCATCCATTCAATCCTTGCAAATCGTTCGATGTTTGGGTCCATTGTTTCGAAATGTATAAGACGTTTATTCAGTAAAGATAAACTGTCTGATAATCCCTTAGTGGTGAACTTTCTTTCTGGCTCCTTCTCTTCTTTCTCTGTTCTCTTCTTTCTTCTTCTGCCACTCTTTCTTCTTCCAGTTCGATTAGCTCTTCATTTGTAAGTTCTCCAGATTCTTTGTCTAGCAACTCTTCGACATCTTCCATTTCACATTCCAAAGAAAGGTCTTTAGTGAGTTTTACTATTTTTTCCTGAATCATTTCAAGTTCATGTTCACTGTCAAATCCGTCAAAATCATTAACATAGCGCTTAACACAATTTTTCCAGATGCCATTCATGCACTTTGTCGTCACAGCCTCCCAGGCGGTAGCGATATTCTTGATACACATCAAAATGTTGTAGTGTTTCCAAAAATCTCTCAATGTTAGTTCTGAGTCAGCACTACAGAAGACATTGCTTGAGCGAAGGTGATTCAGAGATAGTTGGCCTTTAATGTGGCAATCAAACCTTGGTCCATAGGCTGGATGAGTGGAGTTGTGTTTGGCGGAAGAAAAACAAATTTTACATCTGGATGGAGATCGCCTAGATGTGGTGGGTGTCCAGGCACATTATCGAGTAGCAATAAAATCTTGAAAGGAATATCTTTCTCCAAACAATATTTTCGAACTTGAGGACTAAAACAGTTCATAAACCAGTCTTCAAACAATCCTTGTGTCATCCATGCTTTATGTTGAGAACGAAAGTAGACGGGCAGTGTGTGCTTGTTAATATTCTTGAACGCACGCGGGTTCAATGTTGTCTGAGTGATAAATTAAGAACGCTTCAGCTTAAACCCTGTGATGTTCCCGCCAAGCAGCAGAGTTAGCCTATCCTTAAATGCTTTAAATCCCAGCATGCTTTTGGCCTCTTTGTGAATATAAGTGCGTGCTGGCGTCCGTTTCCAAAATAATCCAGTTTCATCAACATTGAAAATCTGTTCTGCCAGATATCCCTCATCTATAATTAATTCACCCAGACTATCAACAAACTTACGTGCTCCTTCCTCATCAGCACTCGCTGCTTCTCCAGTCACTAGAACACTATGCATTTGGAACCTTTTCTTGCATCTCTGGAACCAGCCAGTGCTTGCTACAAATTCTTGACTATAATCTTCTCCAGCACGCTCCTTCAGAGTCTGAAATAGACCTCTCGCCTTCATCTGCACAGTAAAAAGACCAAATGGTGTCCGTTTTTGAATTTGATCTTCCATTCAAATATATAGCAATTTCTCCATTTCGTGGATGGGCCCACTTCCTTGCTTTGTTATAACTGTTGATCGCATGGGTGCAGAACCTTTCACAGCTTTACAAATTCTTTCTTTATCTTTCAAAATCGTCAACACAGTTGAGTGTGGTAACTTCGTATCACGTGCAATCATATTCATTTTCTTTCCTCCTTCGTACTGCTTAATTACCTTCATTTTCCTGTCAAGATTGATGGCCTTTCTTTCCTTCTTGGCAGGCTGAGGCGTAGACAAAGACAACTTCCTCTTGGTAGACATCTTGGGAGGGATTTGATGAAAAATATCCAACACACAAAACACAAATTGCTGTACCGAGTCTGGGATAACAGTTGAAATGGTGCACACGGAGATGGTAGTGCTGCCAGAAGCTAGTCCGCACTGTCGTACGCCCAGCTGGGCAACGTTTGCGCTGCCAGATGCCGAGCAGTCGTGGCTAGCGATTGTGGTCGTAAAGTCGAATGATCGTAAGTTGCATAGGTCATAAGTCGATCAATACCTGTATGTATTTCAAGATTCAGCTCTAAAAAGAATAAGATCCTGTGATTTGAAACAACATAGATGGAACTGGAGATCATTATGTTAAGTGAAATAAGCCAGGCACAGAAAAATAAGTATCACATCTTCTTATATATTTGTGAGATCTGAAAATCAAAACAATTGAACTTCTAGAGAGTAGAAGGATGGTTACAAGAGACTGGGAAAGGTAGTGGGGGGTCAGAGAAGGACATGGAGGAAGTGGGATGGTTAATAGACACACACAAAAAATAGAACAAATGAATAGGGTCCAGGATTGATGGTACAACGGAGTGACTATAGTCAATAATAACTTAATTTTACATTTTAAAATAAATGTGTAATTGGATTGTTTGTAACTCAAAGGATAAATGATTGAGGGGATAAATTGGATTGTTTGTAATTCAAACAACAGTTAATTGAATTGTGTGTTACTAAAAAGATAAATTTGACTGTAACTCATAGGATAAGTGCCTGAGGAGATGGATGTCCCATTCTTCTTATGTCATATTACATGCCTGTATCAACACTTCTTAGGTACCCCTTAAATATATACACCTACTATGCACCCACAAAAATTAAAAATAAAAATAAATAAATATGGATGGCTATTATTTTATCATATTTGGAAAAAGATCTGTGACATGGCTTCTGTCCCATTTTCTCTCTTCTAATCTTACCAAATACTTGAAGTATGTTAGACGTTAGGACTGTAGCTTCAATGTCTCTTACCCTCTAGCCTTGTATTTTTCATCTCTTTGTCTCTTCATGCTTCATTCTGTGCAGTCTTCCAATTCACTAATTCTCTCTCCCCCGTGTCTAATTGGTTGTTAACTCGTCGAATTGGATTATCAGTATTGATTATTCCTTTCTTTAATCTTATTGGTTTAGACATAGAAATGATCTTTTGTCCTTTTTCTATAAATCATTTTATATGGAGAAACTGAAAAGAAAACCATTCTTAATATCAAGTTCATAAAGAAAGTGTTTTGGGGATTTTCTGTTGTTGACGTTTATTTGTTTGCTTGATACTTGACACAGAAATGGTAAAAAGTTTCTACTTTCCCCCACACTTGGGTTATAGAATACAATAAAAGCTTGGTCTAGGCATTATCCTGCAAATTAGAAGAAACTGGAAATTAATTTTATGTGAGTAGCTCTTGTTTTGTTTTTCTTTGTTTTGTTTTTGGGATAGCAGCTTGATAGGTCCTCACCACAAGCTCTCCTTACAGGGAAATTCAATGAACAGCACTGAATCTCAAAATGCCATTTCAATAAATAAAATATAGTACTCAACTACAGCTACACCATTATATTCCAGGAATTAATTTTTATTTTGCTTATAATGAAGAAATGTGGCTCTGTGCCTTCAAACCGCATCATTACCCAAGTGAGATATCAAAGATGTGAGGGCTAACTTACATTTGATTTGTTTAATCCTAAAATCCTT